AAGCATGTTGGTAATGGGATTGATATTAACTTATGGAGAGACTCTCTTTTATGATAGGGAAAATTTGAGAAAATGAAATTTGAGCTAAGATCAGGAGGGCTTGCTAACCATCTGGATATTTGGGGGATTATAGGCAGAGAGAAGAGGAAGGACAAAGATCCTAAACAGGGATCAGTTTTGTAGGAGAAAATAATGAAAACTATGGAAAAGACACTGTAATCTCTTAAACTCTAGAAAATGGAACTGTAAAGCCATTGTGGCCTTGTCACCTCCTAATTTGGTAGAATTTTTTTTTTTTGAGACGGAGTCTTACTCTGTCGCCCAGACTGGAGTGCAATGGCCGGATCTCAGCTCACTGCAAGCTCCACCTCCCGGGTTTACGCCATTCTCCTGCCTCAGCCTCCCGAGTAGCTGGGACTACAGGCGCCCACCACCTCGCCCGGCTAGTTTTTTGTATTTTTTAGTAGAGACGGGGTTTCACTGTGTTAGCCAGGATGGTCTCGATCTCCTGACCTCGTGATCCGCCCATCTCGGCCTCCCAAAGTGCTGGGATTACAGGCTTGAGCCACCGCGCCCGGCCCAATTTTTTTTTTTTTTTTTTTTTGAGACAGGGTCTCACTTTGTCACTCAGGCTGGAGTGCAGTGGCATGATCTCGGCTCATTGCAGCCTCAACATCCTGGACTAAAGTGATCCTCCTGCCTCTGCCTCCTGAGTAGCTGGGGCTACAGGTGCACACCACCATACCCCTGCTAATTTTTGTCCTTTTTGTAGAGAGGAGGTTTTGCCATGTTGCCCAGGCTGGTCTCCAATTCCTGAGTTTAAGCAGTCCACCAGCCTCAGCCTCCCAGAGTGCTGAGATTACAGCCGTGAGCCACCACATCTGGCCATAATTTGGTAGATTTTTCTTAATCTTAGGTCACCGGTTCAGAAAGGAGACAACCTCAGCACCTAATGGAGGCAGGGTGTGCAGATACTCTCAGAAAGCCAGACTTCCTGGCCGGCACCATGTTGCAAGCCTGTAATCCCAACGCTTTGGGAGGCTGAAGCTGGTGGATCACTAGAGGTCAGGAGCTTGGGACCAGCCTGGCCAACATGGGGAAACCCTGTCTCTACTAAAAATACAAAATGAGCTGGGCGTGGTGGTGGGTACCTATAGTCCCAGCTACTCAGGAGGCTGAGGCAGAAGAATCGCTTGAACCCTGGAGATGGAAGTTGCAGTGAGCCAAGATCATACCACTGCACTCCAGCCTGAGCGACAGAGAGAGACTCCAAAAAAAAAAAAAAAAAGCCAGACTTCCATTACTTGTCTGAAATTTATGTGTTTAAGTGCGTTTTTCTCGAGTCCATAACTTTCAGCAATCTACCATGGACCCCTGAGACCAAACCCAAATGTATGCCTCCCCCAGTGCCAGGTTAGGAGGGGAAAAGGAGACTCAGTTCCCCATCCCTTAAACAGGCGCGACTAGCCTGGTGCCGTGGTTCACGCCTGTAATCCCAGCACTTTGGGAAGCCGAGGCGGGCGGATCATGAGGTCAGGAGATCGAGACCATCCTGGCTAACACGGTGAAATCCCGTCTCTACTAAAAATACAAAAAAAAAAAAAAAATAGCCAGGCGCTGTGGCGGGCGCCTGTAGTCCCAGCTACTCCAGAGGCTGAGGCAGGAATGGCATGAACCCGGGAGGCGGAGCTTGCAGTGAGCGCAGATCGCGCCACTGCACTCCAGCCTGGGCGACAGCGAAATGAAATGAAATGAAATGAAATGAAATACAAGCGAGACCAAAGTCAATTCGGAGAAGCTTTAATAGCAGGAAGTGAGACTAGCCTTCTGGCCCGAGAGAGCGCGACGGCGGCGGCGGCGGCGGCCCCGTTCAATTGAGGCAGCAGAATAAGCGCACGTCGTTCAGCGCAGTGTCGTCGCTTAAGCCTCTAGGTCCCTGGATCTTGGTCTGCAGGCCGCACACGCCCTTGGGGCAAGGGTCACTCCAGTCTCCAAAGTCTCCCCAGCTCAGCCCAGGCCCCTGCAGTTCCTCGCCGTCCGAACAGCGGAAGCGCACGTTGTTCGCTGCTGTGTTGTCACCGAGGGTCGTGGGTGCCACCACGCGAAGCGAGAAAGCCACTAGGTAGGCGCCGCCGCGACACCACAGCGGCTCGCTCCATTCGCCCCAGCTGCAAGGGAAAGGGAGCTGCGTTGCCTCTGCCGGCGCCCCCATTCACCAAGCCCTTGAGACTTTCCAAGCCAAGTGCTGTGTCTGACCTGGTGGGCTGGGTGCTCCCTGACAGAGGGGGAGTCTTCCATCCATCCCTTGCCTGCCCCCCGCCCCCGTCTATACTGCCCTGTAGCTCTGGAGGAGCCAGCCTGCCTGCCGCGACGGAGTATGTAATAGAGGGTAAGGGACATACCATCACCCCAAGGGATCCTAGACCCCTGTGCCCCACCTTCCAGACTGGGACTCCACCACTTGCGTGTTGCCTAGGACGCTCCCGCGCACGCAGTGCAGCCTGATCCCATTCAGTGCAGTGTCATCGCCAAGAATGCCTTGGGGAGGCTCCACCTGGGTATGATGAGAAGAGCAAGGGCGAGTCACCGAATTATCATCCTTGGCTCGATGGTCCCACGCATCTCCACCCTCTCCAGGACCTAAGCCCGAGCCCCAACCTTGAGCGAGAACCCTCTGGCGAAGAATCCGTCAGGACACATCTCAGGCGAGGCCCAGTCGCCCCAGGGACCCCCGTTGGTCACTTCGATGACCGCCGGGTAGCCCTTCCAGCCATCTGCCTGTGCACATGTGAAAGGCGTCGCCTGCAGAAGCAGCAGCAGCGGCAGCAGCTTGGCTCCCTGGCCTGGCTCCATCCTGCAGCTGTGAATCAGGCCTCCTAAGCAGATTTATATCAGTTTGGCCCCTGTGAGGGCTCCGATTGCGGAAGGGCCTCCCAGATAAGTGAAACCCAAAACTAATCCACTCCCGGAACCCTATTTCCTGCTGCCTGAGGCACAGGCTCCCAGAGCTAGGGGAGGAGGGGCAGTGAGAGAGGGTGAATTGAAATAACCATCACCTATTGAACATTTACCACAGGCTACGAATTATGGTTAGTGTTTTGCAGTGTTTTATTTAACCCTCACAACAATTTTTAGGAGATGAGAATTATCCTTCCTCTTTTGTAGAAGAGGGAACAGGCTCAAAAATGGCAAGCAACTTGCCTTAGGTTTACAGCCAAGCAAGCTGGCAAACATTCCAGCAGGGAGAGCGGAGACAGAGTGGAGACCAGGGCCAGGGATGGAAGTGACCTCCCAGGAGTCCCACCAGGGACAGGATGGGTCAAGGGCAACCCAGAGACCTCCAGGATGTGAGGGGACGTCAAAGTGAGGATAAGACAAGAATCCTTGAACTGGAGAAGCTGAGGAATTTCCTGTCAGCTTAGAAGTCTCCTCCTCCTCTGAGAGGTCTTCTGAGAGATCAGGGCCCTAACACCTTGAGAATCTGGGACACCCCTCCCCACCTTAAAAGAAGATACACACAAACAGAAATAATTTGTTTTTATTTTATTTTATTTTATTGAGTCAAAGTCTCTCTGTTGCCCAGACTGGAGTGCAGTGGCACGATCTCGGCTCACTGCAACCTCCACCTCCTGGGTTCAAGCGATTCTCCTGCCTCAGCCTCTCTAGTAGCTGGGACTACAGGCACGCACCATCACGCTACCCCACTAATTTTTGTGTTTTTAGTAGAGACGGAGTTTCACCATGTTGGAGATGGTCTCGATCTCTTGACCTCATGATCCGCCTGCCTTGGCCTCCCAAAGTGCTGGGAATTACAGGCGTGAGCCACCGTGCCCGGCCCAACAGGAATAATTCTAAGAAGTTTGGGGACAGGTGACTAAGAACCCCTAAGAAGAGATCATGCTGTTTCTTCCATTGCTTTCTGTATGTATCCTTATGTCCTTTCCCGGAATGCCTTTCCCCCTGTGACCACCAGGTGGACTCCTAATTTGCAAAACAAAAAGCAAGAAAACCTAAGTATGTTTTTGGTTTGTTTGTTTGTTTGTTTTGAGACCAAGTCTCACTCTGTTGCCCAGGCTGCAGTGCAGTGATGCCACCTCGGCTCACTGCAACTTCTGCCTCCCGGGTTCAAGCGACTCTCTTCCCTCAACCTCGCGAGTAGCTGGGATTATAGGCGCTGGCCCCCATGCCTGGCTAATTTGTATATTTTTAGGAGAGACGGGGTGTTGCCTTGTTAGCCAGGCTGACCTCAGGTGATCCGCCCAACCTTGGCCTCCCAAAGTGCTAGGATTACAGGCGTGAGCCACCGTGCCCAGCCTAAAAATGCCTGGCTAAATTTGTTAGGGGGCCACAACCCCTGATTTAAGTGCCCCTCATATACACTCCTTTATTTAGTATCTATTTATTCAGTGTCAGTTTATTCAGTATCTATTTATTTAGCAATAATATGTTTTGGCTTAAGCAATAGTCCAAGTGCTGTAAGCAAGAAAAACAAGGCCCCTGCCATCAGAGCTCACATTCCATCGCGGGAGACAGAGGATACATTCTCCCCCAGTGGACCTTGAGCTCTGTGAAGGCATTTTTGTATTCTTGAAGCCTAGTACATGAGGAAGTACTTAACAAAGGTTGGTGCAATGAATGATTGAAGAGCCAATCTGGAGTTTTGAAAAGTAAACCTCAAAAATGCAAAAGGATAAAGCCTGATGTGTATATACGATTGCGAGAGGTCACGTATCCAGTACGATTGTGAGAGGTCATGTATGCAGGGCAAGACAAAGTCCCCTGGGGATAAGATAGACAATTTAGAAGTAGGTGTTCCCGGGTGGGAGCGGTGACTCACGCCTGTAATCCCAGCACTTCGGGAGGCCGAGGCGGAGGGATCACAAGGTCAGGGGTTTCACACCAGCCTGGCCAGTATGGTGAAACCCCGTCTCTACTAAAAATACAAAAATTAGCTGGCACTCTCCAGCCTGGGTGACACAGCGAGACTTTGTCTCAAAAAAAAAAAAAGAGAGAGAGAGAGAGAGAAGTAGGTGTTCCCTGGATTCCAGAGGTGTGTGATGCTTGAACTTAATATTTATAGGGCAATTGTGGTCAGCTTTTCCATTTAGTGTTTTCATATACATTATCATTTAATCCACACATGAGCTTGCAAAGTACCTATTATTATCCTCAATTTACAGTGGAGAGAACTCAAGACCAGAGTGAATTAGGGCCCACACCACTGCTCAGTAGGGGAGCTGTTCTGGCCCCTGCCTCTCTTCCCAGTACTCAGAGTGCCTCTTACTACAGCTGGCCCTACGGGGAAGGGAAAGGCACTGATCTGTCACTGCTATCGAATCCCCCAAATTCCCTTCACCCGGTTCCTCGCACCCGGGGTAGCTGCCCTTTGGGGCGAAGGGCACAGGGGAAGGGGCCTTAGTGGGTTAATTATTAACCCTTTGCCCCTCAGGGCAGCACGGGCTTCTCTCCCCTCCTGGAGGTGGAGGGACACTTACTGGCTAGGGGCTGGTAAGGGGGCGGTGGTCCCAGCAGCAGGCATGGGGGTGGCGGTGCGGCCCCCAGACTGCGGCACTGGTTCAGCCACTCAGTTCCTCTCACTATCTTCGCGCTGCTGCTGCTTTATCTCAGTGCTCGGAGCCTAGGTGAGCTGCCCCTTCCCTCACCTGCTCCGGGAGGAACCCCGGAGTCCAGGCCCTCAGGACTCAAGCCTCTTCCTCTAGCCCTCACCGCTCTGCTTCTCCTGTCTCCAGGCACCCGTCCGGGCTGCGGACCCAGGGCTCAGGCCTGCGTTCCATGGGGAACCGCGCCCTTCCAGGTACGCTTGGCGCAGGGCTGGGCGCGGGAGCTCCAGGAGGGACCAGAACAGGGGCACGTGGAGCCAGGCTGAGGGTCCGGCGAAGGGCGGGTCCTCCCCCTGGTCTCCCCTCTCCCGTCGGAAGCTGAGCGCACAGCAGAAGAGCCACCAGCTACACCTTCGGAACAATTTCTTCAGGGCGGAATCTGCTCCCACCTCTTCCCATCGTGTCTACCCACCAGGTCCGGCAGGAGTCGGGACCCCTGGAGGCCCCGGAGAGGAAAGAGCCTCCGTGTCTGGCCCCTCGGGGGACGCTGGGCCGTATGATGAGGCCGTTCCACGCCAGTGTGAAACCCGAAAGGGATGTGAGGCTGTCGCCGTACCTGGCGGGATGGCGGGCACTCGTCGAGTGAGTGGCCTCCCGCCCCCCAGCCGGTCTCCGCCTCCTTGGCTGCTACATCGCCATTCTCTCAAATCATCTCGCCCGCAGGTTCCTGACTCCCCTGGTTCAGTCTTCGCCTTCGCCACTAGGGAGGCCTTCACCAAGGTGACAGCCCTGGAGGCTCGGGTGCACGACCCGAACGCGGAGCACTACTCGTCTCTGGCGGCCATGGCGGCGTGGGAGCGGCGGGCGGGACTGCTGGAGCAGCCGGGGGCAGCCCCCGGGACCCGGCCCGGAGCTCGGGCTCTCGCACGCTGCTCCTGCTGCACCCTGCGCTGCGCTGGTCCCAGCTCTGCCTCCACCGGGTGGCGACCGGCGCGCTGGGAGGCCCGGACGCGGGATTGCAGTGCAGCGACGCCTACCGCGCGGCCCTGGGTTCGCATCACCCTGGCTGGTCCGTCAGGCCGCCCGCCTCGCCTTCCTCGCCTTCCCGGGTCGCCGCCGCCTGCTGGAGCTGGCGTGTCCTGGAACCACCCAGGCGGAGGCGCGGGCCGCGCTGATCCGGGCCGCCGGCACCCTGGAGGATGTCTACAACCGCACCCAGAGCCTGCTGGCCGAGCGCGGCCTGTCTGCTCCAGCTGACCTAGGACAGCGGCTGCGGGGACCGGCGGGAACGGAGCGGATCGCCCGCGGTGGGGCCGCGCAGCCCGAGGTCAGCCCCGCAGCCGGCGCCGCGGCCGCCTCCGTATCCCGCCTCATCCGTGACGTCGCGGCGGTGAGGGCTGCCCCCGGCAGGGAATGGCGTTGAGCTCCCTCTGTCCGCAGTCTCGGAAAGACGGCAGGAGCTGTGAGGAATAAAAAGTACTTGGCAGCATCGACGTAGGGCGTTTTGTGTGATGACGACAGGCGCTTAAGGGAAATAAAAAACGAATGTGAGAAGATGTGTCATCTCTGTTCCCGGCAGCCGAGAGACCCACGCTTCCCCGGCCTATCGCAGTCACTCCCGTGGCTTTGGTTGCCAACCACACGCCGAGTCTCCAGCTCAGACTTCTCCCTGAGCTTCACCCCTGTGCAGCCAAGTATACAGCAAGCATCCTGCACACTCCACAGACACTGCAAATGCAGTACGTCCAACACTAGTCCCACCATCATCCCCCCAAGAACTGCACCTTCTCCTGTGTTCCCTGTCTCTGTGAATAAATGGCACCCTCACCCTTCAGCTACCCAAGCGCATGTGCGTCATGCCTCACACCAAGCAACTGCTCAGCGCCACACGGCCACTCCCGCACTGAACATGAAAGACCCTGCCATTTCATACACTGATAACTCCCAAATCACCACTTCAATCCACTTTCTCCCGGACTCCAGAATCCTACGTATACGATTGCCTATTAGGTATTTCCACTTGGATGTCACTTAGTCATAGCAAACCTACCATGTCCAACACTAAGCTCCAATACGCCCTCCCCACTAAAATTTTCCCTGCATAGACTTTGCTGGCTCAGTGAATGACACTTCCATTCTTCCAGGTCCTCAGACTAAAAACCTCATCATCCAGACCCTTCTGGGTTTTTTTGTTTGTTTGTTTGTTTGTTTGTTTTTTGAGACGTCCACTGCATTGCAGCCTGCGCGATGGGAGCGAGACTCCTTCTCAAATAAATAAATAAATAAATAACAATCAATAGTCGGGGCAGTGGCTCACGCCTGTAATCTCAGCACTTTGGGAGGCTGAGGCGAGTGGATCACCTGAGGTCAGCAGTTCAAGACCAGCCTGGCCAACATGGTGAAACCCTGTCTCTACTAAAAATACAAAAATGAGGCCGGGCGGGGTGGCTCACGCTTGTAATCCCAGCACTTTGCAGATCACAAGGTCAGGAGATCGAGACCATCCTGGCTAACATGATGAAACCCCGTCTCTACTAATAATACAAAAAATTAGCCAGGCGTGCTGGTGGGCACCTGTAGTCCCAGCTACTTGGGAGGCTGAGGCAGGAGAATGGTGTGAACCCGGGAGGCAGAGCTTGCAATGAGCAGAGATGGCGCCACTGTACTCCAGCCTGGGTGACAGAGCAAGGCTCCATCTCAAAAATATATATATATACAAAAATTAGCCAGGCACAGTGGCATGTGCCTGTAATCCCAACACTTTGGGAGGACAATCGCTGGAACCTGAGAGGCAGAGGCTGCAGTGAGCCAAGATCGCGCCACTGCACTCCAGCCTGGGCAACAGAGCAAGACTCTGTCTCAAAAAACAAAAAAAAAAAAAAAACACAAAAAAAAACAGAAAACAAAAACAATCAACAAATTAGGAATAGAAGGGAACTTCCCCTGCCTAGGCATCTATGAAAAACCAAGCTAACAGCACTGTCAATGATGAAAGACTTTTCCCTAAGTTTTTCCCCTAAAATGAGAAACAAGACAAAGATGTCTGCTTTTGCCAATCTATTCAACATTGTACTGAAGTAACTCGCCAGAGCAACTGGGCAAGATAATGAAATAAAAGGCATCCAGATTGGAAAGGAAGAGATAAAACTATCTCCATTTACAGATGATATGCTGGTTTATATAGGAAAACCCCAAAGAATATAGACACAAACTATTAGAACTAATAAATGACCCGGCGCAGTGGCTCATGCCTGTAATCCCAACACTTTGGGAGGCTGAAGCAGGCAGATTACGAGGTCAGGAGATCGAGATCAGCCTGACCAACATGATGAAACTCCATCTCTACTAAAAATACAAAAATTAGTGGGGCATGGTGGTGTGCACAGGAGAACTGCTTGAACCCAGGAGGCAGAGGTTGCAGTGAGCTGGGATCACACCACTGCACTCCAGCCTGGGCAACAGAGTAAGACTCTGTCTCAAAAACAAAAAACAAAAAAGAACTAATAAATGGTTCAATGAAGTTGCAGGATACAATATCAAAACCAAAATCAGTTGTATTTCTATGTACTAGCAATGAACAATCCAAAAATGAAATTAAGAAGACAACATCACTTATAATAGCATCAAAAAGAATAAAATACTTGGGAACAAATTTAACCAAAGAAATGCAAGACCTACATATCGAAAACTATAAACACTGTCAAAAGAAATTAAGAAAGACCTGAATAAATGAAAAAAAAAAAACAGGTTATGAAATGAAGACATTTTAAGATGGCAATACTCCACAAATTGATTCAGTACAATCCCTAACAAAATTCCAACAGCCTTTTCTGCAGAAATGGACAGCTAATCCTAAAATCCCAATGGAGATGCAAAGGATCCAGAAAAGGCAAAATAATCTTGAAAAGGAGGAAAAAGTTGGAGGATTCACATTTCCTGAATCTATAAATTACTACATTCAGAAACTGGATAATGGTTATAGTTGTGCCAGGCGCAATGGCTCATGCCTGTAATCCCAGCACTTTGGGAGCTGAGGCGGGTGGATCATGAGGTCAGGAGTTTGAGACCAGCCTGGCCAACAAGGCGAAACCCCATCTCTACTAAAAATATAAAAATTACCCAGGCGTGGTGGCAGGCGCCTGTAATCCCAATCGGCGTAACTCGGGAGGCGGAGCTCTGCAGTGACTCGAGTCCGTCTGCCCGGGCGCCGGTACCTACGCCGTAATCCCAGCACTTTGGGAGGCCGAGGCGCGAGCGACTCATGCAGGTTACGGAGTTCAAGACCCAGCCTCGGCCAACATCCGGCTTAACACTTCCGCTGCTCTACTAAACAACATACAAAAATTAGCCGGGCCGTGGTGGGCCGCGCCTGTAACCCAGCTACTGGGGGAGCTGAGGCAGGAGAATCCGCTTGAGCCCAGAGGCGGAGGGTTTGCAGTGAGCCAAGATCCAGCCCACTGTACTGCTACGCCTGAGCTGACAGAGCAAGACTCCTGTCTCAAAACAAAAAACAAAAAAGCACTAAAAACCAAACGAACCAAACCAAAAACAAAAAAACCCTCCTAGCTGGCTTGGCGGCCTACCGATCTTAACCGGAGCTGCAGGTGAAAAAAAAAAAAAAAAAAAAAAAAAAACAAAAAAAAAAAAAAAAAAACAAAGGGCCCACAAAATAAACCTGAGAGTCTTTGGTTAAAGTGAAATCCAACAACACCATGTTTCGCTTTTCTTTAGTTTATACTTAGGAGCCATTATGCTGGCAGAGAATTTATGGGTTCTATACTGTATGTTTAACCATTTTGAGCAGACCGATCAAACTGTTTTCCAGAAACTAGCACGATTTTACATCCGCTAGCAAGCCATGTATGAGGGTTCCAATTTGCTCCACACTCAACTAAAACTTGTTATTGTGGCCATTATTTTAGTTAACAGCCATTCTAGTGGAGTGTGAAGTGGTACACTTGTGTTTTCTTTTTCTTTTCTTTTTTGAAGACCGGAGTCTCGCCGTCCCAGGCTGGAGTAGCCAGTGGCGCAATCTTGGTCACCTGCAGCTCCGCCCTCCCGGTTCACGCCATTCCTCCA